TGTTAATTTTTATTCCCAAATTCGGAAGCACATTCTCCATAGACCTGTCAGAGGTGCAGAGGTTTTCGGTAGAGGAAGCATTAAGACACGAAACAAATGACTGCAAAATGGTGGTTGCTTTACCCTAAATATGATTTAATGCTTCAGGGAATCTAACAATGCCAAGACTTTCCACTAGGTAGATGAAGGCTAAACACGTGCGTTAAAGGAGAAGGGAGAGAGACTGAAATGTGACTCGGCCCGAAGGCGTTCAAGAGCAAGATAAATGCCAAAGTGATCGCGGGTCCTACAGGCGGTCCGAGGAATACGACATTACAGTGCCGCTTTCTCCCTTAAACGACGTCCTCAGTAATCTCCTCGGCACACCTCTTGTGCCAGCATTTGGTGCTACAAAGAAACACCCACGAGTCAGTCGTGCCAGTTGTCAGCTGTATGAGACTGTGGGATTGTGTCTGACCATCTTATCTGCTCCAGTCGAGTCTACAGTCGCGTCTGGTCGGCAAAAATAAATCGTAGAGGTTCTTCACTCAACCATCAACGGTGTTCAGGAGTGGATGTTGGAAAAGTGGTCCGAAACAGTCAGTCATGTAGGCGATCACCGAGACGAGGCATTACACCACTTTTCATTACTTTGTGACGTAAAAAAACACAAATGTAAAAAGGTAGGAGCTGCTAGAATTGGAATATGTCCTTAAGGCAAGGCAACTCTTCAACTTAGGAAAGTCAAATTACAGTGACTTTGTTTTAAGAATTAGTTGTCCTCTTTTACTCCACTCGACTCCACCTGTCGCTCACCCTCCAAGCATCGCATCGTTTTTTCTTCCTCCTTCTCCTCCTGTCAGTAAAATTTGATGAGGAGGTGAACTTACCATCTTATTTATTGAAGTCTCGAGAAGAAAAAGAAGCAAGTTTACCTTGTACTTGCCACTTTCGTGATGCGAAAGATGAATAACAATTTTGTAAATGGTGCTGTGAAAAAAACAGGCGGTGTAGAAGATTTTAACGAGCCTTTAAAATATGCCATTTTTTTGTAACTCAGTTGCGCTTGAGTAGAATGCAAGAATTGGGCAACAGAGACGAAGTTCAAGCCGTCAGACCATGACAATGCGACGGCGCAAGTCACAGCTATTGACATCAGCAGCCGAACAAAGTGACGATTAAAACGCACACTGTGGCAAACCTCTAGTGTCAGCCACCCCAATACGGTCGGTCCTGAAGAGAAGTGCCAAAAAGCCAGCCACAGTGGAGTTGAATGGAAACTTTGTAGGACCAATTTGATAGGGAGTTTAGCTCGGTCGGAAAATAGGATCCAGAGGCTCAACCGTGGATCCATTGTTGGACGGTAGTGGATGCTAGAGTTGAAGCCAATCCTCTCGTTCTCTATTCGTGGGATCCGAGTCTTCTTTACAGGCAGAAGAAGGCTTAGCAATTGGATGGAAGGACGAGGATCCGTGCTTATGGCACTTCCAGGAGACCATGCCACCCGAGTAACCGCAAGCAAAACCGTCAGTCCGAAAAATAAAGTGTTACATGGTAGAGTTCACAGAACTTCACATTTTCATACTTTTTCATACAGTTTAAAGTAGACGGTTTGAAGTGCTTTGCCTCTGGAGCGGTGGTGCACAAACACGGCTTCGGTCGATCTCCTGTCCATCCACGTAGGCCTAGGCATAGTGCTTTCCAGCTAGCAATTAAGTGATCACCTCCAACTCCCTCCCTCAAAAAGACCACCAACACCATTTTTACCTCTCTTTTGTACTCACAAAGAACACTGTGTCTTCTGTTCTATTCTTCTCCAAAAAGAAAAGAAAAATTTCATTTCAATGAATTGGTATTGTGCAATTTTTTTTATAACTCTGCCACAATTGACTTTTGAAAAGTAAAAGGCTGAAGAGCATGGATCTAAAAGTTTAATTCCTAACCCTTTTTTAGCTGGAGTTTGAATAATCCAAGTTTTCCGCATTTTCTTTTAGTACATTTCATTCCAATTTGAAAATGTCGGTTGCGTAGTTAATGCAACTTTTATTTGAATCAGTTTGTAATGAAACAACATCCAGAGAACAACACAACGAAACACCACAACACAAGAGGCTGTGGTGAATTTAAAGACAGTAATCAATCTTCTCTGAAACCGCATCTCGCCTTGTCCTCCACTTTGTGGTGTTTAAGTAGAAGGTCTCAATATGACTCCTCTTTGGTGGTGGTGGTGGTGGTGGCGGAGAAGGCAGCGATGGGGGTAGCATCTTTCCACCGTCACTTTCTTCTCCTCCTTCTTCCTCCATCCCCTCTTGCCCCTCATCCTGGCCCAAGTCTGAACGTCTTGCCTCCTTCTCTGGTGCTGATTGATACAGCATTAAAGGAATGTCTAGACGTGGTCCGCTCTTGCCTATCGCTTGGCATAGCATCTCGCAGAAGACTTCTGTAAATTTTCTCTAAAGTAAAGACTTGTATTGTTAAGCCTGATTAAATAGTTTTCATAGTAGGTTAGTACACATCGAGAGTGGGTATTTTTGAGTCAAATTCTACTATTTCCCATTTTGGATAATCCATTTGGACTCATGCTTGCTCAGACCTTGCATGACTATTTATGCCGAACTCAGCGTTCCAAATTGACGAGTTAAAATAGTACTAAATATGTTTAAAAAAATAGGAACCCCGCTAAGGGTGCCACGAAGACCTAACAGGCTGCAAGTGCTCTCAAATAGCAGCTGCACAGAGATGGGCCACCCCACACCGATGAGAGTCAGTCATTTTTTAAGCTCTCGCACCTCATACCCTCAGTCGTACAGACGTAGTTCTTGTTTCGACCACACAAACCTTACCACTCATACCAAAAAGCTTAGAACTTTCAGAAATATAAAGACGCAATTCTAGCAGCTTCAGACTGGAACAGTCGTCGTTAATTGTGACTCAGTGATGGAATGCTCAAATCCTCAGCCGTGCAGCACTTGTGAGTGATTGGACGCTTCAAGGTCACTGGGAACAACTCAGTGGAATTTCAACTTTCAGGCCCTTTACAACCTCAGTAATGTGTAACAATAAGTAAGAGATAGAGAAAGATTGTCTTCTGCTTACACTTTTCACGTAGTAATTAAACAATAAACTGTACACTAACTTATAGTTGTTGAGAATGTAGGTAGTGTTATTTTGCACTGCGAGACCTTAAGCAATGCCAGTTTGGAC